GGATTGGAGATGTAAAAATCAAGCAGAGTCTTTACTTTTCCAGCTAGCTGGGGTCGACCGGCTTCCTGAGACATGCAAGTCTGGTCAGAACGATCGACCCCCATTTAGTTTTAGGTACAGATTATATAGGCTCACATAGTCATTACACAAAAAGCATTTCTCAGCATACACTTTGATCAAACATCTTCTAAAAGCTATAGTTTTGGTTAAACATCTTTTCCAGGAAGGGTAGATCTGGTGTAAGCCTGGTGCAACTTCCTTCTCTTTGTTCCTTATCGGGTATGTGCTATGTGCAAACAGGCCTACAGGATACATTGTAAATCAACTGAGTCTGGGGTCCAGGGTCCAGGAAGGAGGTTTACAGCACTTCAATTCTTAGCATTTCAACTAGGGTAATCATCCATGTGTACAATCAGGAGTTTTCTATCAAAATGCAGAGTTCTTACAGCATTCATCAAGGCATTTCATTTTTTTTCCAACAGAGGCCTTTATATCTTTGCTACCCGCAGACCAGAAACTATACTCAGCTGCCAGATGCTGTACTCAGATCCTTGCCATGTGGACCCTTCATGGGCCCTCCAATAACTGGGGTCTCTTACTTGAAAGGATATAGTCTCTTTTAAAGACATGCTGGATTAGGTTTTGTCCGCTCCAGAAAATTTCCATTTTAAGAACTTAACACATTTCATTTTTTTTCCAACAGAGGCCTTTATATCTTTGCTACCCGCAGACCAGAAACTATACTCAGCTGCCAGATGCTGTACTCAGATCCTTGCCATGTGGACCCTTCATGGGCCCTCCAATAACTGGGGTCTCTTACTTGAAAGGATATAGTCTCTTTTAAAGACATGCTGGATTAGGTTTTGTCCGCTCCAGAAAATTTCCATTTTAAGAACTTAACATCACCTAGTGTCCTGGTTAGCTTTAGCCCTCTCCCTGACCCAGTGTAGAATCATCTGAGAACCTCAACTGCAGAATTTCCTAGATCAGATTGGCCTGGGGGCATGTCTATAGGAGATTATCTGGATTAATTGATACAGGAAGGTCCAGCCCACTGTGGGAAGTGCCATCCCTAGACAGATAGTCCTGAGGAGTATAAGAAAGCTAGCTGAGTACAAGCCAGTTTGCTGGCCAGCTAGCAAGCAGCACCCTCCATGGTTTCTGCTATATTTCTTTGGCTGTGAAGTGAGTTCCTTGGTCAGAGGTAATTCTTTGTGGAATAGCAAGCAGTCCTGCCTTTAACTTCCCACTTTGAGTTCCTGCCCTGACTTCCCTCAGTAATGGACTGTGATCTGAAAGCCAAATAAACCCTTTCTCCCCATATGTGCCCCCCCCCTTTTTTTTTGAGACAGGGTCTCCCTGTAGCCCCAGCTCACTTGGAACTCAATATGTAGACCATACTGGTCTCATCTCACAGCCTCACAGCAATCCTCCTGCCTCTGCCTCTAGAGTGCTGGGACTAAAGGCATGTGCGACTACACTGGCCATGTTTGGCTTTTGTTCTCGGTGTTTAATCATGGTGACAGAATGAAACTAGAAAAACTGATTTGGGGCTTAATCATATTTCCTCAAAGCATTGGTTTCCATCTTCAGCAAAGGGAGAAATAATGCAACATCTTAAATTGTTTAGCATGCCTGAGAAGGCTCAGGAGTAGAGGCGATTGCCTACAGGTCTGACAAAGTGAGTTAGATCCCTGGATCTAGCTATGTAGCCAGAGAGAATGCCTGGAAATTTTGTTCGCTGACCTCCACAAGTGTGCCTGCTCTCTCCCTAAATACTGCAGGCAAGGGCCACCATACACGTTCTGCCCTAAAACAAGTACGTTTGTTTCAGAAAACAGGAGCAATGTATTTGGGATAATCTCATCACCTCTGCCCCACTGCAGATTTAAGCAGGGGAATAAAAGGCTGTAGAGTCTTCCTTTTTGTCCAATACCAACATAGCCAAGCACCTCGATTGCACATATTCATAGTAAGTCGCTGCTTTTTTTTCCCCCCCCCTCCTTCTAAGGAAGCTTAAGGATTTACCCTATGTCTCAATGATTAAGGTCCTCTCCCTATGAACCCGTGTTACTTGTCTAGTCCGACTTTTCTCTTTTCTCCCTTCTTTCCTTCACTGTCAGCATCCGACATCCTGATTCCAGGGTTTCCCGGGCAGCTTGGCTGCACCGACTTTCGGAAAAGCAACTCCAGTTCGATATTAGAATATCAAGATGAAACTTCTCTAAGGTTCTGGGGTTTCGCCTCTGCGGTGGGTGTGGTGTAGCCCTTCCCCTCCTTCTGCAGGCTGAGAAGGTTCCGGCCGGCTGGCGGCATCTTCCCCTCCCTGGAACCAGAGCAACTCCCGAGCCAAGCTCGCACAGCGCCCCCATAAGCCCCCGCGCCTCGGCTGTACGGCGGGGGTCTGCGCCAAGATGGCCGCGCCCACAGGAACTCTCCAAAGGGCGCCGCCATCGCAGTTGCGGGACCCTCTGAAGCCGCGCTGGGGTGGCCGCCATGTCGGCCTCCTACTCCAACCGAATCCTGACAAAGCCAGAGGCGGTGGGCCAGAGGAGGAGTACGGGAACAGCTGAAAAGGCCAGGCGTCCAAGGGAGATGGCTGGGTCCGAGCCCCCGGGTGGTGCCTCGGTGAGGGCGGTCATGGCTTGGGGGCGGTTTGGCTGTCAGTGATTGGAAGGTGACTGGAGGCTGTGAAGACGAGATTTGGGAATCTGGAGTCGATGTTAAAGGGTCTTGTGGGAGGTCAGTGTTCTGAGGGACCTAGGTCAGTGATATTAAGGGCCCGTGGGGTCAGGGATTGCTGTAGTTTTAAGAAACAGTGTTTTGAAGGATCTGCGGAGAGAGTGATGCTGGGGCTGGGGTGACGTCTGTGGCCATCACTGACCAGATCAGCAAGGAGGGCTTTGTGATGTGTCAGAGATGGGTAAGGGCTGTGAGGCTGAGGATTTAGAATGTGTGGGAGCCAAAGAGTGTTAGTAGCTGTGGAATTAAAGACTGGATTGTCACAGGGGCTGTGTTGAGATGTGGGGAGTTGGGTGATGGGAGTTTCTGAGGATCTGAGGTTGAGGCCTTGGGGGTCAGTGATGGTGGTGCTTGTGGAAGTCTGATTAGCCATGTCTTGGAGAGTCACTGGTTTGTGTGCTATAATGGGTTGTGGGGGAGCCTGGAGGCCAGTGGGGGGATAGTGGCTGGTGGGAAGTGGGGAGTCTATGTTGAGATGTGTATGGGAATGGTAGATGATTTGTAGTTCATCTGGGGGCAAAGGTAGTCAATGATAAGGTAGTGCCCAGGAGTCCTAACTGTTCTATTAGTGATGGGGTGATTGGGAGGATGAAAGGTCCTCTATGACACTGTGACTAGGATTCTGAGGTCAGGAATTTGTGAGATTGCAGAGTTTAGTGATGGAAGAATCTGTGAGGTCATTGTCTGGAGTTCTATGGAGGTTAGTGATGGTTCTGTGAAGAATAGTAACTGGGAGTTTCCATACATAGGGGAGGTTTGTGAGTTAGTGACTGATGAATACTTATCTACTTATCAGTATAACCATAGAAACAGACAGTGAGATGAACGCCTATTTTATGCCAGAGAGTGTTTTAAGTAGCAATATAGAGAGCCGGTTTCTCCTTTAATATCTTTACATTCTAAAAATTGGAACGAGACAATCAAAATATAAGTGTAAACAAGATAATTCCAGGCAGTAGTGCTATGAAGAAAGTAAAAGAGGGTAACATAGTAATGATTGATGTAAGGAGTGTGTGATTTTATCACTTAGTCCTGGGAAATCTTTTGAGGAAATGACAGCTGAATTGAGGGTAAAGGATGACAGGATGTGGCTATGCAGAGAACGGAAGAATGTTCAAGGAGGAATGTCAACTTCCAAAGCCTTGAGTTAGAAAACAGGAGGATTAATGTGGTTGGAGCATAGGCAGAGGGGAAGTAGAAAAAGATGAAATCAGAGTGGTAGAAGGTACTAGATCATGTAAGACCTTATTGGCTAGGGTCAGGATCCAGATTTTCTTCTAAATGAAATGTGTAAAAACCACTGGGTTTAAGCAAAGGAGTGATTTGCTGTGACTGATACTTCAAATAGATCATTGTGGCTACTCTGTGGAAGATGAACTACAGAGGCAAGAAGTCGTGTTAGAATACATCTGGACCTAGTAGGGCATGTTGATTTTTGAAAGAGCTTAAGAAATGGTTGAAGCAATCATTTACTTCATCTTTAAGGCACACAAGTCATGGTAAAAATTAAGACAGTCTCCTCTTGAGACCACCATAAAGAAGCAGGGTCCTTAGGAGACAGGTCGATTTTATTTAAAGCAAACAGACGAGGGAATGGAATGGCTCAAGAGACTGAGGGTGGAGTAGAGTTTCCTGACAGTGATGGTTTCTGTAATGACAACTGTTAGAGAGTTCTGTTGGTGTCAGTGATTGGAGCTTGATAGGATGAAGGATTTGGGGACATGGGGGATAGAGATCCATGGGGGATAGTGTTCTGTGGACTTCATAATTGACAAACCTGTGGGAGCAAGTAATTGGAAGGATCTGCTACTGTTTGGTGGTTGGGAGTTTGCTGGGATTGTCATTTTGGAATTAATCATGTGATTAAGGAGGCCTGTATGGACTCAGGGATCAGGAGGCCAATGACAGTCAATGTTGGGAATTATTAAGAATGCAAATTGGGGGCTGGAGAGCTGTTAACAGCTAGAGAGTCAGCTGTTAAGAGCACTCACTATTCTTGCAGAGGACCTGGGGTTCAGTTCCCAGCACCCACAGGATGGCTAACAACTATCCCTAACTCCATTTCCAGGGGGATCTGATACCCTCTTCTAACTTCCACGAGCATTATACACACGTGCATGTGCATACATGCAGGCAAAATACTGATACACATAAAATAAAAACAAATGTTTTAAAATGCAAACTGGAGGTCTGTGAGCTAGAGATTGATTAGTGACATGCATGTCATATATTGATGGTCTTCAGGGGGTGGATTGTATTTAAATGTTAAACATGTTTGAATGTGTATTTATCAATATCCAAATTCTCCAATAGCTTTATTGTCCTCCAGTCCCTTGCCTCAGTGAAAGAACTTTACTATGCTATCATTTTCCCCTTCCCACCAGCCACTCCCAGTAACATTTCTGCTTATTTTTGCAGTATGCTTCTTATTAAGGATATTTTCAAAATGGTTGTGTAAGCACCTTTACTTAAGTTTAACTAGACATTTTACTGGATTTATTATTCACATTTTTTTTCTTACAGGTTTAATCTTTGAATCTTTCAGTTTTTATTCTGATTCAGTTTTTCTTCAGTAAAAGATTCCTCCTTTTCCTTTCCTGCTTTCTTCATTTTTTCCTGCTTCTTTATTTCTAAATTATGGAGGTCATGCAGTTTCTGCATCCTTATATACCTTGCATCTTTTTTTTTTTTTTTTTTTTTTTGAGACAGGGTCTCCCCAAAGCTCCCAGCTCACCTGGAACTTATTATGTAGACCAGGCTGGCCTTGATCTCACAGAGATCTGCCTCCCTCTGCCTCCTGAGTGCTGGGATTAAAGGCCTGTACTACCACCATACCCAGCCCTGAAGTGTCCTTTTTAAAAAAAATTTTATATTTTATTTTATGTGTGTTAGTGTTTTGCCTGAATACGTCTATGCACCATGTGCATGCAATGCCCATGGAGACCAGAAGAGGGTGTCAGATCCCCTGGCACTGGAGTTACAGATGGTTGTGAGCTGCCATGTAGATGCTGGGAACTGAACCTGGGTCCTCTGCAAGGGCAGCCAATGCTCTTAGCCATCTCTCCAGCTTCCTACCTTTGTGGGTTTTTTTTCTTTTCTTTTTTTTTTTTGGAGACAGGGTCTCAAGACTCTAAGCTGGCCTTGAACTTAGTATGTATCAGAGAATGGCCTTCAACTTCTAATCTTCCTGCCCCCTTCCCCTGAATGCTAGGATTATAGGTGTGGGCTATCACATTGGTTTTATGCAGTGCTGGGGATCAAACTTAGGACTTGTGCATGCTGGGCAAGCACTATACCTACTGAGCTACATCCACAGAACAGTGTCTCTCTTTCACTTCTAAACGTAAATTAATTTTTTATTAATTATAAAATTCAAGTTTCAATTCTCCTATCTTAGAATTCTAAAACCTATAAAACTGTAGATTCTACTTCCTAGCCTTTTAGCATCCAATGTTGTAGAAGAAAAGAAAGACCGATTCTGGGCTGTTGCTGCTGCTGCTGCTGCTGCTGCTGTATTTGTGGTCTTTTTAATATTCATCTGATCATATCCTCATTCAGAATAGAGACATTCAAAATAGAGACATTTCTTTATATGTTTTTTTGTTTCTAAAAATGACACATAACCAAATCCTGGGGCTGGAGAGATGGCTCAGAGTTAAGAACACTCATTACTCTTTTTAAAAAATATTATATTTATTTTATGTGTATGCGTGTTTTGCCTGATTTGTGCAAGTGCACCTGTGTCATACAATGCCCATGGAAGATAGAAGAGGCTGTTGGATCCCCTGGAAGTGGAGTTACAGACAGTTGTTAGCTATCATGTAGGTGTTGGGAATCGAACCCAGGTCTTCTGCAAGAACAATTTGTGTTCTTAACTGCTGAGCTATCTGTCCTGTCCCACTCATTGCTCTTGAAGAGAGTCTGAGTTTTGTTCCTAGTATTCACATGGCAGCTAAAACCTGTCTTCTGTAAATCTAGTTCCAGGGGATCTGATACCCTTTTCTGGCCTCTACAGACATTGCATGACACAAGTGTACTTACATACGTGCAGGCAAAATATTCATATCATTTACAATTTTAAAAAAACAGCAACAACAACAAAAAAATCAGGAGAAAATGTATCCTTCATAGCAGTATGGACAAAAGTGACGATGTCAAGGTAAAACAAATTACCTTGTTCAAATCACGCACATGAAGAATTAAGGAGTACTAGACTGAACAATAATATTACAGAGGTCAGTAACATTCAAAGATGTGACTCTGGCTTTTACCCAGAAGGAATGGGAAGAGCTGGAACCTGCCCAGAAGAATTTGCACAAGGAAGTGATGCAGAAGAACTACAGCAGTGTAGCCTCGATGGGTAAGGACAGTTCCCTCATCACCCAGAATGTATTCACTGTGATCCCTTCTTCCTAAAGTCCTTGAGAAATTTGCCCTAGATTTTTTTTTGTGGGTCACAGAATTTTAATCCCTGTTAGGTATTAGAGAGGACACTTGTGCCATTGCCTACAAAATGGAAGTCTACTCTGTTGAGGTACATGTTGTCCGTATTGTGAAATATCAGAAGTCATGTATGTGTTAGCCTTGAAGGGCCCTGAAGGGTACACCTTAGGCCCAGTTCCTGGGATGGTTGTTCTAACATTCATTTCTATCATTTCTTGTGAACAGAAAATCAAGATTCCAAACCGGATATGATCTCTAAGTTGGAAAAAGGAGAAAAGCCACGGCTGGGGAAAGAGAAAAAACACAAACAAAGTGGCCCGAACAAAATAGCAAGACCCAAGCAAATGGGAGCCAGTGGAAGTAAGTTTTCAGTTTCTTGATGGTAACTCTGGAATTCTTCAACCAATAACTTATTTGGAAATTCTTTTTAGGGCTGTAGATACAGCTCAGTGTTTGAGTGAGCTTGTGCAAAGACCTAGATTCAACCCCAGCCTTCAAAATAATATATTTTTTTTCTCTTAAAGATCCCAGACCATTTTTTCTTAACCAGAGAATATTTCAAAAAATACTTTGAATCTCCCAGGGGAACAAAGTTCAAACTACAGAGATTTCCTAACCTTGGAGATTCTATTATCTCTTCTATGAACCTGTCCACACGAGAGGTTCACTGTAGTCGTAGCTAGTATTTCTTACGGAAATTTGATTTTACCGCTTGTATCTGTCAGCTAAAATGAAGTGTTGCTCCATAGGGAATGATCACTATTATAATAAGAAAGTTTTATTTCTTACTCAAACTCTAATTCTAGCCCACATGACTTTCATTTGGGGCCCTGTGCTGAAAAAGCACTTCCTATTTGGCAAATTCTTGTTTTATGGCAGAAGGAGAAAAGGGTAAGCAGAAGCACATGGTCACTCCACTGCTTGGAAGGATAAGTATCTATTTCAGCTCACACTGAATAGTCAGAGCAAGCCACCTGACCATTCCTGAGTTCAAAGGGGATAGGAATGCATAATCTTCCCACAGGAAGAGGTGCCACAATTCAAATGCCATGCCGCTAGAGGGCTGGAGAGGCATGATCCTTCCCTAGGGAACAGTAATACAGTCTGTCATTTCTGAATGAATTTCTGGGTGATGCTCCTATGTCAGATGATTTTGTTTTCTTCCATTCACTGTGAAATGCCCAATACCTGTGTTCTGTGAGACAATATCATGTCCATTTGGCCCTTAATCCTTGTAGTCAAAGTGCTTACTTTCGAATGCATATTTTAAACTTTTGATTAACATGAAATTCTTGCCCATGTTATTATACCACTTGAATTGGCTCTGACCTTATCTCTTGTTTTGTTTTGTGTTAAATATTTTCTTTATTATTTTTATTTTATGTGTATAAGTGTATTGCCTGCATGTATGTGAGTGCACCTGTGTCATGCAATGCCACGGAGGTCAGAAGAGGGCTTCAGATTCCCCTGGAACTGGAGTTAAGGACAGTTCGTAGCTACCATGTGGGTGCTGGGAATTGAACCCGGGTCCTCTGCAAGAGCAGTCAGTGCTCTTAAACGCTGAGCCATCTCTCCAGCCCCTTGTTTTGTTTTTAACCATTTACCCACCATTTACTTTGCTGATTTCCCTAAGGTTATGTCTTCGACTCCATGTTCTTTTCCTCTTTTGTATTTCCCTCAAAAAGATAGTCCATTATGCAAATACAGCTACTGGTAGCTTCTAAATGGATGTTTCTTAATTCCTTTGTCTTGTACTTGCCCTGGAGCTGCTTATCGGGCAGACTTTCTTTAGGAGTCAGAAATGGAATGTTCTAGCTTTCTTTATAAATTAGAGTTTCTTTTCACCTCCCTATTTTTGTCAGGCTCTATTCTAATTTTAGGCCTGTCTCCCATGAGTTACTGTCCTCTAGTCATATCCTGTTTGTTTTTTCTTAGTTCTCCCTGGCATTATATGAATCAGGTTAATCTTACCCTTAAGTTCTTCTAGTTCTTAGGAGGATTTATTGAGTCCATGTTTTTTTTTTTTCTAATTCATCTTAGATGTTACCACCAAATATTAACTATTCAGTGATTATTTATGCCACTACAATCCTCCAATTAGTAGGTCTGGTATATCTTTTAGTTTCCTCTGATTCTGATTCATCTTCAGATCTCATGAAATTTCCTGAAACCAGAGGGAATTCTTCAAATAACTCATGAAGAGGCCTCAGGAAGTTTCTGGTCTCTCCATTAGTGGCTCAACTTTTGGCCATTCTGACTTCTCTTGATGATACTTAGTGTTACAACTGAAAAAATAATCCTAGGACATTTATCATTGCTAGAATGACATGTCTTGGTTCCTGCATAGTACTTTGAGGCTCTTTAGGGAAAGAATATTCCTTTCTCTCCAATGGTTTACTGGGCCTAGTGAGCTCCATGCTCAAGCTTCTGAAGTTTACACCTAGTTTAATTTAAAATTGATGCTCTAGTTGCTATCTCACATTCAGAAATGCTTCTAGCCTTAATCAAATGCTCTGTCATATCCAACTCTGTTCAGTGTGATCCTGTTACATACTGGTACTCTAGTTCACATTCTGTTCTTTTCCTTCATAGTGAATTTTTCTTTTCATGCTTTCTATCTTTATGCAGGTAGGTGGGTGTCAGTTCTGACAACTTAGTCCATCATTTAAAAAAATTTGTTATAGGGTTGGGGAGATGACTCAGTCAGTAAAGTGCTTGCCACACAAACACAAAGACATGAATTCAGATACTCAGTCACCATCTAAAAAGCCAGGTTTGGCGGTACACAACACACCTATAATCCTAGCACTGGGGAAGTGGAGACAGGACCCCTAGGACTTGCTGGTCAACCAGTCTAGCCAATCAGTGAGCTCTGAGTTCAGTGAGAACGCCTGTTCCAAAAAATAAGGTGGAGAAATAATTAAAGAAGACATCTGATATCAACCTCTGGTTGTGCCTGAGCACACACATGTGTACACTTACATGTAAACATGCACACACACAGTTTTAATGTTACATGTCAAGTAGACAGGTATAAGTTTTGAACTCTTTCTTCCAAAGAGGGAAATTTGGTCCTATCCCCATCATCATTGTTCATGGGAAGACTTGGCCTTGTCATGCTGCCTGAAAGGTCCTGTTGAGCTCTATCTCAGGGTGCTGCATCTCTTAGGATTCTCTAAACAAGAAAGGAGCCAACAATTCTACTTCTCTAGGTAGAGAAGGCCTTATTATTGCTATACTTTCAAAAAGTAATTTTATTTTCCCTTGGAACCAAGTATCTTAAATGTCCTTCATAAAAGTGAGCATCTGTCCTCTATTCAAATACCCTTATTTTCTTCCTGTAATATTCCTTTACTACAGAGGTGGTTATATATGTGTCTCTCTTTGAATCTTTTAAATTCTTTTGAAATCTTTTAAATTCTTTTGAATCTTTTAAATTCTTACCCTTGAAGCCCCCCCTCTCCAAATTTCTGTGCAGAAAATGGAAAAAGGCCACCTCCAAATAGACCCAGCTACAAAGTTTATAGGTTTTCTTTTTTTTCTCTCTCTCTTTTGGCTTTTTTGAGACAGGGTCTCCTTGTAGCCCCAACTGGCCTCGAACTCACTATGTAACCAGGCTGGCCTCAATTTCACAGAGCTCTGCCTGCCTCTGCCTTGTGAGTGTTGGGATTAAAGGTGTGTACCACCATGTCCAGTTTAGCGTTTTTTTTTTTTCTTTTTGGTTTATAGGTTTTCACACGTAGTATCCATACCTAGCTAACAAAAGTCTTTGAATTTCAACCCCAAATTCTTAGAAGAAAGTATATTATTGAACTATCAAAGACTTAATATTTACCATAGTCTAATAATTGCTTCCAGATAGAAGTTGGATCATATAGTACAATCATGGCTACCTATACCTGTCAGTGTGAGTGGTGGTCTTAGAGAAGAGAAACAGTATTTAAGAAAATATCTCAAAGTGTGTAATTGGGTACTATATGGGAGAAAAAATGTGAACAAGTACTTTGAACTGGGGCTAAATTTAAAACAGACATTGACAGTTAGAATGGTCCAACAAGAACAAAGGTGTACACTAGATGGCAAACTTGGAAAACAAGTGTGCTTGCATACTGTGTATCTAGGTGTATAAAATTTGTTTCTCAAGCTAATTGCTGGGAATTCCATGACTTTGTAAAGGCATTAGGGAATTAGAGGAACTATAGGGTAGTTTGTTGTTTAGTACAAAGTATCCTTGTTTTGTTGTTCATGTGAATGGGAGCAGTGGAACACCCTTTCCTGCTTATTGCCCGTTTCCTGTGAGCTCTTCAGTTATCCTTGGTAGACACATAATCTTTAGTTAATTTATGTTAGCTAGCTTTATTCAGTAGAGAAAATTATGAAAAAAAAAGATGTGGGTATATCTCATAACTTAAAGGCCCATACTTTAGCTAGACCTCACAGGAACTACAGCTGGCAACTTGGAGGTCACTGGAAATTGAAATTATGCAGTGTTCTTGAGGACAAACAGTCTACATTTCTTCTTCTTTCTATGTGTCTATGCTTCATTTTTTTTGTACTGAAGAGATTTTCATTTACATAGGAAAATATGGCTTTAATATTACTTACCTTATACCATCTTAAAATTTAATCACTTTGGAGAGACTATCCAATAATGGCTTGCTATGTAGTCCAGGCTAACCTCAAATTTGTGAAAATCCTCCTGTTTCACCTCCTGAGTGCTGGCATGTGCCACCATACCTAACACAATCTCAAATTCTTTTAACCTAATTCATTCTGTGTTCAGTGCTGCTTTTGTTTACTTCATCTTCTATCCTAGGTTATAAGGTCCTATTTCTAAATAGGAAATTTCTAAATAGAACAGTCAAATCTGTTCATAATGACTACTGTCAGTTTTCTTTCCCTGATCTTACTACAGCTTTATCCCCCTCAAGTCCAAGAGGATAGGAACATTTTGTTCTTGATATTTTTTTCACATGGTCATATTACAAATATTCAACCCCAAACAAGGTATTTCTTTATAAATCTTATAAAGAATTTCAGTGAGAGTGCAAAAATTCACAAGAATGTCTCATTGAATTCTATTTTAGAAGAAATCCAGCAAGATGAGGAGCAGATCGAGGAAAAACAGAAATCTCAAAGCAAACTCATTAGAGAAGCTACAATCAAGAAGAAAACTTCAACGAGTAAGAAAAGCAATGAGTGTGGTTTGTTGGGGAAAAAAAATATCAGCACAAAACATGTTCCTTCAAAAAAAAGACTTCTTAAATTTGAATCACATGGAAAGACCTTGAAACAGAATTTAGATTTACCTGATCAGATAAAAAAATATGCAAAAAAGAAACCTGATATAGCCAAAGAACACAGGAAATCATTCAGCCATAGCTTATCTGTTGCAAAGAAAGATGAAAATTCACCTGGAAAGAAATGTGAAAAATTACCCAACAATAGGTCATCTGGTAAGTGTGACAAAAATCAAACTGGCAAGAAATGTGAGAAATTATGCCGCCATAGCTCATCCTATACTAAGCAAGACAAAATTCAAGCAGGAGAGAAATGTGAGAAATCATCTAGACAGTCTTCATCTCCTAAACCTGACAAAGCTCCAGCTTCTTTGAAACCTTATGAATGTAATCAGTGTGGGAAGGTTCTCAGTCATAAACAAGGACTCATTGACCATCAAAGGATTCATACTGGCGAGAAACCATATGAGTGTAATGAATGTGGGATAGCCTTTAGCCAGAAATCCCACCTTGTTGTACATCAGAGAACTCACACTGGAGAAAAACCATATGAGTGTGTCCAGTGTGGTAAAGCTCATGGTCATAAACATGCCCTTACTGACCATCTAAGAATTCATACTGGGGAAAAGCCCTATGAATGTACTGAATGTGGGAAAACCTTCAGACATAGCTCAAACCTTATGCAACATGTGAGATCTCATACAGGTGAGAAGCCTTATGAGTGTAAGGAATGTGGCAAATCCTTTAGGTATAACTCCTCTCTTACTGAACATGTGAGAACTCACACAGGTGAAATACCATATGAATGTAATGAATGTGGCAAAGCCTTTAAGTATAGCTCATCCTTGACTAAACATATGCGAATTCATACAGGTGAGAAACCATTCGAATGTAATGAATGTGGAAAAACTTTCAGCAAAAAGTCACATCTAATTATACATCAAAGAACTCATACAAAAGAGAAACCTTATAAATGTGATGAATGTGGAAAGGCCTTTGGACATAGCTCATCTCTTACTTACCACATAAGAACTCATACAGGTGATTGTCCCTTTGAATGTAATCAATGTGGGAAGGCCTTTAAGCAAATTGAAGGCCTTACTCAACATCAGAGAGTTCATACTGGAGAGAAACCCTATGAATGTGTTGAATGTGGGAAAGCCTTCAGTCAGAAGGCACACCTCATTGTACATCAACGAACTCATACAGGGGAGAAACCCTTTGAATGTAATGAATGTGGAAAAGCATTCAATGCAAAATCACAACTTGTTATACATCAAAGATCCCACACTGGAGAGAAGCCCTATGAATGCAATGAATGTGGGAAGTCCTTCAAACAAAATGCATCTCTTACCAAACATATGAAAATTCATTCAGAAGAACAATCTCATGAGGAAAATTAATCTAGAAAATCTGATAACTTTTGTTTAACCCTAGAGATGTCCTCAACTTGAGTGTTAGAAAATCTTTATCAGGAAGTCACCTTAGAGAATATGAATAGATAATCTTTATATAAAAGGAGTGGATGGAAATAAAATTTAAACTTGATCCTAAACCTTTTACAGAAATACTGTATTTTTACAATTATTATAAATGATTTACATGTTTAGATTAAAATATGAAACTTTAAAAATTGTGAATAAGGAGCTGGAGACATAGCTTAGTAAAGTGTTTGTTATGCAAGCATGAGGACCTGAATTCCATCCCTATAACTCATGTAAAAAGCTCAACATGGTGGCATGTGCTTTTAAACCCAGCATTGGGGTGGTGGAGACAGGAGGATCCTTGGGACTATTTGGCCAGCCAGCAGAGCCTGATTGGCAAGCCCAGTTTGCAATGAGAAAACCTGTCTTGAAACACAAGGCAGAGGGTTCCTGAGGTTGACCTTCGGCCTTCACATACATGTGCACATATACATGTATACCCCCCACATAATACACACAAAATAAAGATTGTGAATAAATTGATTAATCAGAGCAGTAAAGAAACATGTAAAATATGCCGCAATTCATGAGTTATTTGGGTGCCATGTACTTACGCACCATAACTAGAATTCAGTTTTCATATGTACTTCCTTGTGAACAGTGTGGACATCTTTGATATCACTAGCTTTTTTTGTTAATGTCTGTATTAACTTCTGTATCAGTAAAAAACTTTAAAAGTGAGTTTTATTTACCTAAAAATTGTTAATAAGACATTTTTAGAAAGTGAGAAAAAAAGCAGCTGAAATAAATTTGCTGGTAGGAAATGATGCCCAAAGTAAGTGTAGAAAAAGTAAATCCTGAACCACACATATAGTGTGTTCCCATTGTATCCAACAGGGGGGTATGTTTGCCCTGTATTTCTTTGCCTTTGTATGCATGTATGTATGTACATATTTATACCCACATATTTGTATATGAATACATTTGATTTTAGAAAAATCTAGAAGAAATTTCGTGGCTGCCACTAAACACAGGAGTACAGGATTGAGGTCTGAAATTTTTATCATGTTACATGTATTATATTCACAATTAAAACATATGCATAAATCAATGCTGTTCAAAAATATTGCTGAGTCCATTCCACAGGATTGTTTGACAAAATAACATAGTTTCTATACTCATTTATGAATGATGAATTTGAGGTATATGTTATAACTTGATATTGAATTTGTAGACTTTATCTATTGAACACAGATTCTTTCATTAACATACAGCTGTGATAGTGCTTTGTTTATTTGTTATTAAAAACTAAAGATGAATTGTGATTGCCATCTCTCCATTTTATCTCATATTCAGAGTATTAACACACAAATGCCAGAGTCAGGGATTTCAAATGTATCACGGCCAATGCTTCTAAACACTTTTCTTGCCCAGTAGCAGATACTGTTGATGGATCACCGTTAGATTTAGGAGGGCAGAAAAGGAAGGAGTTTAAAGTTTAGAAATAAGAGTCAGAGCCAGACCTGCAACAGACAGGAATGTGCTCCCTGGATTCAGGAAGCCCAGCAAAGGGCTGATAGCTTTATCTCAAGGAATGATTATTTGCAAACTGAAGAGGGAGCAGTCTGGTCTTATATAGGAACTCTGCCATACACAGCTGCAAGAGTTAACTCTGTGCCAGGGTCTGGTGTCCTTGAGGGTCTCTTTTCTGAAGATTATTTGCTCAGTCAGATGGATGAGTTATGTATAGCACTAAAGGAGACAGGTGGGCTCCACAGTCTCTCTCAGTCCAGGGAGTGACCAGTTGATAAGGCTTGAGCAAGGCCAGACTGCCAATTTAGGGCCAGCTAACCACTCTAAGGAATTTATGTCTTTATGGCCTCCTCTAATGAAGCTTATGGCTCTCCTGAAATTCACATATTCTATCAATCACTGTGCTTTTTCCAAGTGAACCTGGAGTCCACTTCAGAATACTTGTCAAGCATGCATTTCTGAAGGTACTATGAATCAATATGACTTTGTGCAGGAGACCTGTTTGCCATTGCATACCTGGATTTTTTTTTAACTCTTGAATCATATATTAAAAAAATACATGAATTGCTTTAAAATTTGTTACAGTAAAAACCATGACGTATCACAAAAATACTATTATAAATTATTTTAGTACATCCTGATATGTAATATTGGAAATATATAATATTTTCTCCAGTTACTGTAGCACACACTTGTAATCCCAGCACTCAGGAATATTGTTGAGTTTGAGGTAAAATGGGAATATACAGACCTATCTCACCTCCTTTAGCCAAAAAGAAAATATTTGGCCTGTATTCTACCTTTTCTGTTTTCAGAGCATAGTCGCTGTATTTATTTCTCAGAACAGACACAGTCCAACAACTAGAACTTGTCTAGTTCTCTTCAGTTCTGTCCAGTAAATATTTCACCTACATAGTAGTCTAATGTAATGGTAGGCCCTAAACAAATATGTAATTAAATCTTATCTGCAAATATTCCTTATTCTTGTTCTTGCATTCCTAAGTTCCTCATTTCAGAGAATAATAAAGTATAAATATGGACAAATGAAAATGTGTGTGTGTGTGTGTGTGTGTGTGTGTATACATTCACATGTGTGTGTTGAAGGATTGCCTCATGGATATTATGCCCCAATTTCCAAATAACTTCTTTGCTCTTAGGAGAAGAAAGTGCAATGTGAAAGCTAGTTCCATCAGTAATTTCTTGCCAAGTGGAAGTCTGGCACTATGCACAGAATGTGTTATCATTATCCAGAGCTGTAGAAAACCTGCACCTTTGAGAAGGATAAAACAGCTGTAGGTTATGGCTATTTGAGTTTCTATACCTCTTGAAGAACCCATAATAATGCCATACCTAGGATAATCAGAAGTCTAGCAATATATGAACAGTAATAATACTGCAAACTATTCTGTGTAATAAAAGTTTAGCATTGGTAAGAAAATGATTTCTAAAGAACTAGATGCTGGTTCAGCAGGTAAAGTGCTTGTTATGTGAGCATGAGGACATGAGTTGGGGTCCCCAGCAACCAGAGAAACCAGGCATGATGGCACATGTCTGTAACTTCAGTGCTAGAGGTACAGTGACAGGTGGATTCTGGAGTGCTTAGTGTCTAGTCAGTCTGCCAAAATGGTGAGCTCCAGGTTCAATGAGAGACCCTCAAAATGAAAAGAGGTGGAGTAATAGAGGATGTCAACCTCTGGCTTCTCTTCATGTATGTGAAGGCAAGTGCATCTGAGCATACTTGCATACACCATACCTAGGAATACACCACAGCACGCACACACACAGAGAAACTATGTAAGCATTTGGGGGGGGGGGACACCAATGATCTACAAACTTGTGTATATCAAAATTGCCTGAAGGTTTTGTTAGAGCACTGACTTTTGAAATACAAATTCTTGGACCCCACCACAGATTTATTAGCTCAGAAATTCCAGAACTTGTTCTTTCATTTTCTTTCTGCAACCCAGACCAGAGAGGAACAGGCCATTTCCCTACTGTTCGTGAGCCATATAAATTATATATCTCTACATATACACTACACACACATATATATGTATATATATACACATACACACATACACACACACACACACACACACACATATATATATATGAACCATTTCTCTTGCTATACAAAGTGGACGGTCAGGTGTATTACCTGAAGCTCTGTGCATTGGAAAGGTTTTACCTCACCACTGTCCCTGAGGCGAGGCCAAAGTACAACGACCATTCATTTCAACTAATATTTGTATACCAGACCAGCCCACATGTAAGAGTGCTCCAGGTTTCTCCCTCTAGAGTTAATTCAGAATTCTTTAAATAGTTGCAGATATGAGCTAAGAGGGGGTTCTGATGTATCAAAGGCAAATGAACACTGTGCTATCATGTATCTTTGTGGTGTACAAGTTTCCTCTGAACTAAAACATTCCATCCTGGAGGGAAGCTCACTCAGACTCAGGAAGTTCTAAGGAGTGACTCCTTACTGGGAAATAAACAACTCACCAGTCTCAGGAAACCCCTGAAACTTGCCAGATGCTTCCTCCAAGATTGTGTAAGCAGTAAGTAGTGACTACTGAGAAAGAAGACTCTGACTTGTTGAGCTGCCTATAAGTCCTGTGGAGAATTCCAGAGTTCCAGCTTTTATGAGATATCACCCATGCTGGAATGGGCTTTCAGTGATGAAGCTGCCTTTGAGTCATCTATTCTCCTGTAAGTAGCCTCTCACCCATATAGCTTGTAAGTAATCCTAATAAAGTCATTGGTTCGCCAAAGTAGACTTTGGTGGCACCATTACCTTGGTCTGTCATTGGTTCTTTATGTGGGGTGAGTAGATGTTTGCTTATGTCTCTCTAGGAAAAGTGTCACACAGCAGTCTTCCATTCACCTCTGAAAGGTCTACCTCAACACTTAAAATAAGTTGAATTTCAACATGAGTTTTGGAGGTGACATTTAAAGCATTGTATATAGAAATTTCCACTAGCCTTGTTTCAGAATCCCAGGAGCCCATGTTGTGATTTGTATTATGTTTATTTTGTGTGTGTGTGTGTGTGTGTGTGCGCGCACGCGTGTGTGTGTCTCCCAGGAAGATTGTGAATTTGAGGCCAGTGTGCTCTGCATAGTTGTTGAATGTAAGGAATGTCAAGGATGCCTGAGCTAAAAAAAAAAAAAAAAAAGGAAAAAGAAAAGGGAACACAATTTGAGCTGTCTTGGCAGGGAAATTTTTACTTCTTCAGGAGGCGCATAGCAGCATAGCAGGTATGAGCAAGCATACTAAGCCAGCAGTGGTCTGCTGGTATTTTATTCCTAATGCAGGGGGAACTCTTATCCTTATTCTGCTTGGCTGAGTCCAAAGGTGTACAGTCTAACTCCCAGTTAGTACATTAGTGCAAGAAGGGAGATGTGGAGAGCTACAGGGGTAATTGGAGTTGGAAAGTCCCTAACTTTCTTTGTGGGTTTGACACTTAGTCTTGGGTGTAACCTTGAAAGTTTATCATTCTGA